TGCAAGTGATCGGCATATTTTTTATTCTTCAGCAATTCGTCCCCTGTGATACCGATAATCAATCTCCGGGAAGGGTCCTGAGCGTCGGCGGTTGGTTGTAATAAAAGTGCCGTAGCTGTAAGCAAAAGTTTGTGGCCCGCATGAAGATGATCAAACGTGCCACCAACTGCTACTACAGTATGGGAGGCAGAAGAATTTGGTTGTACAGGCTGTGGAGTATTTTGAATCATGCTCACTCCACCACTGACCATTTGAAGTTCTGCACCTAAAGGAGGACTAATGCCATTTGCGAAATGTAAAAAGTCTCGAAGCAAATTCTGTCCTTCCTCGCCTTGCACTGAAAATATTTTGCTCCATTGGCGTCGAGTGCTTGCGAAGAGAGGAAGTCCAACGATCGGACCGCCAGCCAAAACCCCAAGACTGGCATCACGCCCAGAATTCTTGTTAGTGGAAAAGCGCGTAGAATCATAATCCAATAAAACGATGCGAAAATCCACAGCGCCCGGTAACTTGGATGTAATGTCAATGTCTTCCTTGGCACATATAGAACAGATCAAGCTGTATAGACCGCCCAAAAGCCTCTCCACCTCATTGTAAATTTGAGATCTTGGTTCCTTCAACCGATCCTTGAAACTTGACGAGGCAAGTGCAATTATAAGCTTGGTACTTGGCGATGAAGTTTTAAGACTCGAAAGTACCGCCGACAATGATGAAGAGTATGCCGCACTGAGAGTTGCTGGTGTAGCTGGTGCGGGGTGTTGAGGGAGCAAAAGTAGGGATTGTGACATGATCGCCAACTAGGTATCTCGCCGACACACTGGGACTTATTAAATCGATTGAGATCCGATGTCAGAATCGAATGGAAGTATGAATGAATGCGAGCAAGACTGCTTGTATAAGAGAACAATGCAATAGGAAGAGAGTTGTTTGTGTAGGAGGTATTTAGTTTGTGAATGCATCCATGAGTTGAATACAAACAACCAAATAATACGTAGTAGGCAAGTCAGTCAAGTATTACTCAATCACTCCGTCACTCAACACAGGCTTCGAGGGGTAATTTCTCGCCAGCCTTATCAGATGCGATGTTAGGCTCTGTTGTGTCCACCAATGCCATAAACTTTGTCTGCTAATGGCCTAATCAAATCAAAGGCCCCATCAGCCATGCCACCATAACCTTACAAAGTCCATCCATACCTGTACATGCTCACCTGGGTCCCTCCATACTTTTATACCAATGATATAACTTCCAACCTTAATTCTCCCACTTTCTCATCCCGAAGCTCCATCACATTGGGCAGTCAGTCTTATTATTGTCATTATTGTTATTACTACTGCTGCCACTTTGGTCGTTGTATGTAGGGGAAGGGAGGAAGCAGCCACTCAATTGTCTGACATTTGACATTGAATAGGTAATTTATTCCCTGCGCCTGCGCCATGCCTTTCGATTCTTTTAATATTCACTCAAACTCTCGTTCGTCTTCATCGCAACAAAATGCTTTACCGGGAAATTCGACTTCGGGAGGTATATTACAAGCCGCAGCAAATCTAGGTAGTTTTGGTATGCCTTCATTGTCTAGCTCTGCCACAGGACAATCTGCACCACCACCAACAACATATGGTTTACCCCATCCAAATTCTTCCCTGCCGACCACTTCCAACAACCACACATCAATGAATCAACAGTCTCAACAATACGAAACACCAAGGCGAGCTCGACACGCCGACGAGCTGCATTCAAATATGTCTGCGCAACGAGGTGCTTTATCTCCAAGAGATTACGGTGCAAGTGGCCCACGTATGACTTTAGACCAAGCCACTCCAGACTCATCTCAATATTCAAATGCAGCACCACTTCCAGGTACTCTACAACCAGGAAGACCAGGTGTGACTTCGACAAATACAGCCCCTTCAATACCCACAATATCGCAAGATCAATATTCAACCCCCTCACGATCCGCAGGCCTTTCGCACAATTACACTCGATCTAGCCCAGCGGCAGGATTTGATAGTCAAGGTTTTGCAACATTTCAAGCAACCACACCGGGCGGATCCGAGCAAAATACACAAAAATATACAACACAAGGCTCTCAAAGAACTGTGTCCAATACTCCTCTTGGTCTTGCAGACATCCGACCGCGTACCGATTCAACACTTGCCGAAGGCTTACCTGGGGCCAATCCATATTCATATGATGGTACCAGCGCAACACCTACCAACAGCAACTACCTCGCGCCGTGGGCTCTATATGCATTCGACTGGTGCAAATGGCCAGCGCAAAATAACGATGCTGGGAAGATCGCAATAGGAAGTTATCTAGAAGACGGGCATAACTTTGTAAGTTTATTGATTTCACTTTGAGCCTTAAGCAGATAAATCAGTACTGATATCAGCTATTAGATTCAAATCCTTGATTCCCATATTGTTCCCACCCAGTCTGAATCCTATGTACCTGGAGCCCCAAAATATGGACTTGAATTTACAAAGGTTGCCGAAGCCACACATTCATATCCTGTAACTCGGCTCTTGTGGGAACCACCATCATCGCAAAAGCAATCTACAGATCTACTAGCTACTTCGGGTGATCATTTGAGGTTGTGGTCGCTCCCATCTGAAACTCCAGTCGCATCGGCAAATAACACTATCGGAGGACGTACTTCTAATTCCGGTCGAGACTTACCTCCTAGCAAACTCACGCCACTAGCCTTGCTGTCTAATTCAAAAACACCAGAACATACTGCCCCTCTGACCTCCTTGGATTGGAACACTGTCTCGCCTAGTTTAATCATTACTTCAAGCATAGATACGACATGCACCATATGGGATATTCCCACATTGACTGCCAAGACACAACTGATTGCACATGACAAAGAAGTCTTCGATGTCAGATTTTGCGCAAACAGCGTGGATGTTTTTGTTAGCTGTGGAGCTGATGGAAGTGTGAGAATGTTCGACCTTCGAAGTTTAGAGCACAGTACCATCATCTATGAGCCAACTACAAAGGATGATAAAGGTATGATTTACGAAGCTAGTGTTAGGCATTTTACTAATTGCACTCATAGATACGAGTCCTGGAGGTGGCAGAATAAGTCCAACTTTAGCCCAGCAAACTATGTCCTATGCACCCCCTTTACTACGACTAGCAGCATCGCCACATGATACTCATCTCCTCGCTACATTCTCACAAGATTCCAACATTATTCGTATTTTGGATGTTAGACAGCCTGGACAAGCACTCCTTGAACTTCAGGGGCATTCCTCATCCATAAACTGCATAGAATGGTCTCCAAACAGGAGAGGTACTCTTGCCTCTGGAGCTGATGATTCTTTGGTTCTTATTTGGGACCTACTGAGTCCAAACACTGCCCCTCCTGTTGGTCCTAGCATGAATGGCGCACCAGTATCTGATAATTCTCGAGGGCCCACTGCCAGTTGGCAATGTGATTACGAAGTGGGAAATATTAGCTGGGCGCCACGAAGCAACTTGAACAATAATGAGAACGGCGATTGGCTCGGAGTAAGTGGAGGAAGGGGTATCTGGGGTGTGAAACTGTGATGAATTATGATGAGCTTTCAGGTCGGCTATTAGAAAGGAGCGTAGCATTATCGCATGTTAAAGCCTGGAGTTCGGTTTCCTGGAGATTGCATCTACAATATTCGAGTATTCATGATTTTATACTCATCGGAGCTCATGTATGATAGGAGTGAGGTGACTGGTCACTTAAATTTACAATTACGAGTAACTCGTATGGCCAAAATTGAAATTTCAACAACCAATTGTTTGCCTGATATTGCAATATACGCACGCAATTGTCCGAGATGATTGTAACTACAGCCCTGCATCTTCTACAACATCATCAGTTATGACTAGCCTGACCAGCTCCACTGTGATCAAAAATTCAAATCAACCTCCTTGCCATGAATATGCTCACTCGGCAAGTATCGACTACCTCTCGGCATTAAAACACGGTACCAGGCAACCCGAGTCCATGTATATGAATGGTAGTCCTGCGAGAAATTCGAGGTTCTAATGTCTACCACAAGCCCATGAAGAGTGTGAGCGTGGGAATACGCTGAATCCATGAGCTCGCAGTGCCGTGCAGTCCCCAGTGATTATATTCAAGACTGAGAGCAAAAATCTTCGATTTTTTCTTATAACAGGATGCTAGTCTTGTATTTGATAGAGGATTCAAATACCAGCGAAGAATGGTTGAAAGTATATGGACAAACCGATGGTACATCCTTAGAGATACAACAAAGGAATGAATTTCCTGTATGTAAGGAGAGCTTTTTATTGGTTCGACTTCAAATATCGAATCTTTCTGTATAGTTCAATTCAGGATCAGAGGAAAATAAGTCGGGGGTCAGTGGGATCAGCATCAAAAATTTATATTTACATCCTTTCAACTCAACTTGCACACACAACCTAAAATTCAACAATCATCCACAGGAGAGGATTCACGAGTTCCCTTCAGTCGCTTTTGGATACCCAGTAGTAAGTTCCTAATTCATATAGCCCTGATATAAGGATGGGCATAAGAAATTCTTCAATTGATCAGCCAATAACAATGCTAATTAGAATATCAATAACCACTCGCACCTTCCAACCTTTACTTTCCCCCCCCCCCAAAAAGCCTCAAAAGATAGTTGAATCTCTTTCATTTTATAGTCAAGTTTTCCTCGAATAATTCAGTCCTATATAATTCTCCAACAATGAATTGTATTGAAAAAGATCTTGAAAAAGAACTGTACAATCTATTAATAAGTCTTTGAGCAGTACACTGGCTCAAGACTCATTGGCTTAGGTAATTCGGGGTTATCCCTAGATAAGTTAGTCCCACTACGGGTCGGAAGGCTGAGGCCATTTTGAACAAAGGTTAGCTTGCCTTGCCTTATATACTTTATCCATTGACCTTGAGATTTGTCTTCTTGAAAAAAATCTACAAATACCTCTCATTTCCCTCTTCGAATGCACATTTTCTTCTTTCAACCTTTGTATTAAAATGTCTACCTCAAATTTATTGAATAATTCCTTTGATGAAAGCGACGAAGAGGACGATAATTTCAATCCCCAACCTGCGGATCTTTCAGACAACGAAGATGAAGGAAACAACACAACCAGCGCGCAAAGACAAAATGAAGCTTCGCGTCATCAAGTAGGCGATGACGATGGCTCCGATGATGAAGCAGGCCCCTCGAGTAATAGAAAACACGGGTCGGGTGGTGCTCAAGACGACGATGAAGACGAAGATGATGAAGGCGAGGGAGAAGACATTGGTGGAGGTGCTAATGATGATGACGATGAGGAAGAAGAAGAAGAAGAGGATGATGAAGAGGAAATTACGGTAAGCACTTCTGAGCTGCATATACAATTCCTGTTCGCCCACAATGCAGTGACCGACATTTTTCTAACCGCAAAGTGTAGGGACACCGCCGCAAGCGCCGCAGAGACCGTCGCAATGTTTTCCTCGATGTCGAAGCTGAAGTAGATGAAGATGAGGATGAGAATGAGGATGACGAAGATGAATTGAACGAAATGAATCACACTTTCATTGCAGACACACACCCGGATGATATGGCAGACCTTCCAGATGGTGGTGAGACAGATGACAGGCGTCACCGAGATTTAGATAGAAGACGCGAAATGGAGGCGAGTCTTGATGCGGAAAAGCAAGCAGAAATTCTACGACAACGATATGCGAACAAGGGTCGATCATCAAGAGGCACTGGAGACTCAGCGGTCGTTCCAAAGCGTCTTTTACTTCCTAGTGTTGACGATCCTAGTATTTGGGCTGTACGATGTAAAGAAGGAAAAGAAAGAGAGGCCGTCTTCTCTATTATGAAGCGCATAGAAGAGAGAGCTGGTACTAAAGAGGAACTTGCGATCACTTGCGCTTTTGAACGTGGTGGAACGCAGTCTACAATGAAGGGTTTTATTTATGTTGAAGCACAGCGACAAGCCGACATTTTGACTGCTATGGATGGCCTTATGAATGTCTACCCTCGAACTAAGATGATGCTGGTTGAGATCAAGGAAATGCCAGACCTTCTCAGAGTTACGAAGAGTCCAACTGTAGAGGTTGGAGCATATGTACGACTTAGGCGTCCAGTGAAATATGCGGGTGATCTTGCGCAAGTGTTGGAAGTCACTGATACTGGTCTCGAACTCCGTGTCAGATATGTACCTCGTCTCGACTATGGTCTTCATGAGGATACTAGTGTAGGAGCGGACGGAAAAAGAAAGCGCCCAGTAGCCGGACCACGTCCACCCCAAAGACTCTTCAGTGAAGCTGAAGCTAAAAAACGACATGCAAAACATCTGCAAGGTCGACCAGACACGAAAACATGGAATTACTTCAATGAAGAATATATCAATGGATATTGCGAGAAGGAGGTTAAAATCCAGGCGCTGATCACTAAGGATGTTAATCCAACCCTCGAAGAAGTCACAAGATTTGCTTCTGGTGCCGAAGATGGAACCGAAAACTTGGATTTAAATGCTCTCGCTGCAAGCTTGAAAGCAAGCACAGCCAATGCCTCTTATTTACCGGGAGACGTCATTGAGGTTTACGAAGGGGAACAAAAGGGTGTCGTTGGTAAAGCAGTTTCTGTCACTGGTGATATTGTCACAATGGCTGTGTCCGAAGGAGCATTAAGAGGTCAAACTATCGAAATTCCTATCAAGGGTCTACGTAAGCGTTTCCGTGAGGGTGATCACGTCAAAGTGATTGGCGGCAGTAGGTTTAGAGATGAAGTTGGTATGGTCGTCAAGATTATTGAGGATCGTGTCACTTTGTTGAGTGATCAAAACAATAATGAAATCACTGTTTTCAGCAAAGATCTTCGGGAAGCAAGCGATTCTGGTGGGAGTGGTGCGTTAGGAAAGTACGAGCTTTGGGATTTAGTTCAACTAGACCCGTCTACTGTTGCTTGTATCATCAAAGTTGATCGCGAATCGCTTGTTGTTCTTGACCAGAATGGATCTAACAGGACCGTCATTCCATCTCAGATTTCCAATAAGCTCGAAAAGCGTAGGAACGCGGTGGCGACAGATCGTAATGGTGCTGAGATCAAGATGGAGGATACCGTGAAAGAATTTGGGGGAGAGGCTAGGTCTGGCAGAATTCTACATATTCATCGAGCCTATCTCTTCTTGAAGAGTTCCGAGCTGAGCGAGAATGCTGGTATATTTGTGGCGCGAACTACCAGCGTGCAAAGTGTCTCTGCCAAGGGAGGACGCATCACTGAAAATGCGGCTTCACCGGATCTTAGCTCTATGAACCCGGCAATGAAGCTCAATCCCAAGAGCAACGGCCAAATGCTTCCACCTAAATCATTTGGTCGTGATAAATCTATTGGTCAGACTGTTACAATCCGCAAAGGCCCATACAAGGGATTACTCGGTATTGTTAAAGATACCACAGACACCCATGCAAGAGTAGAATTACACACAAAGAGCAAGGTAATCAGTGTGCCAAAAGACTGCCTTGGATTCAAGGACAAGATAAGTGGAGCATCGGTAGATCCAAATGGTTTCAGAGGTGGTCCTGGTGGTGGTAGAGGAGGAGGAGCTCCAAGAGGTCGTGGTGGATTCGGAGGTGCAACTCCTGGACCAGGTTGGGACTCTGGTGCTGGTGGACGAACACCAATGCCAGGTGGTCTTCCTGAACGCACTCCAGCTTGGGGAAGAAGTAAGTTGATTCTATCTTATTCTCCAATATTTACTAACATTTTTAGCTCCTCATGGTGGTGCCCAAGGTGGAAGAACGCCTGCCTGGAAGTCTGGTCCCACTGATGGTGGTCGAACACCTGGTTGGTCGAACGATGGATCTCGAACTGTTTATGCCGCAAATGATGGTAGTCGGACAGCCTATGGAGGTGGCAATAGAACTCCTGCTTGGTCATCCGGTGCCAAAACCCCAGCTTATGGCTTATCAGATAACTATGGATCCAAAACTCCCGCGTATGGCGGCAGTGGAAATGCTGGAGATGCATGGGGTTCGAAGACTCCAGCCTATCAACCAAATAATTCAAACGACAACTGGAACTCCGGCCAATCCAATAACAATAATTGGGGAACAGCCTACGATGCTCCAACCCCTGGTGGTCCTTTATCGGCACCTACACCAGCTGCTATGAATGCACCAACCCCAGGTGGATATTCTGCTCCCACACCAGCTGCAATGAACGCTCCAACTCCCGGGGCTTATTCGGCGCCAACACCAGCTCCAGGTTATTGGGGTGCTCCTACACCTCAAGCAATGGATGCTCCTACACCTGGACCAGGATATTATGCAGGTGCCCCTACACCGGGTGCCTATGCTGCGGATACTCCAGCAGGTAATTGGCAGGATGATGGTCCTAGATACGTGGATTAATGGTGATAAGTTGCATTTACTTGTGGGTTGGCATGCATGCGTCGGTGGTTCGGAGGAACTTTATTGATTAAAATGGAGCGATGGAGTTTTCTTTTTTCTGAGGTTATTTCTTGGGCATGTTTGAACAGAATGGTCACAAAGGGAATCCCGTTTTTCGGGCAGAAAAGCGCGTAAATGCATGAGATATCAAGATTTACAAAATCAAAGCAAGATTGTTCATATGGAATCTTCTCTCAGACTTTCCCCCATTATTCGTCCTTCTCATCAATATGAGCATCTCAACTCCACTCTTTTAATAATCAATGACCAGTGTACAATACTAGCGCTCCGAGCAATAATCCATGTAACCTCTTCATCTCTTTACAATCACAACTACCTGTTTGATATTTATAACTCACAATGAGCTGTAATGGTAGGTTGGTACCTAATTAAAGCAATATCTCGAATATAGTGAATGGCGAGTGCTTCCCTTGGTAAAACTTTAGTAGTTGATATAGAGAGACTTATCACAGGTAGAGCAGATAGATTATTGATTGTCATCTTCAGGGTGTAGATGATGGAAGAACTGCATGTATAGGATAGCAGGAGTGAGGAGTGAGGAACGAGGAGGGTTTATATGATTGCGCACTAGTAATCCTACGGCATCCAATTGATTCTTGCGCAGTACTCATCTTCCAATAGTCTGTGAGATTGCTTGGATTGAGGAGAGACAATGTTGGCTTCTACACTGCCATACCGTGCTCAGTCATGTTATCTCGATTGATACGAACATATCAGGTTTTGTTGCACCTTTCGTGATCGATCGGGCTGCTCGTTTAGATGGCGCCGGGAGAGAGTTGGATGGATTTGAGTTTGGAATTGAGGACGATATGGCGTGGTGAGGTGGAGTTGGAAAGTGGATATATGTAGTAATTATGTATGTTATATGATGTGATCATTATACTCGTGTGGCCAGAAAGTATGCAACTCCCAAACTTAAACTAGATGTACATGCCAATGCCACAAGATGATAAACTGGTTTTATCGCGGCAGCGTTGCATACAGCACGGGTATTTGTTGGGTTAGCGATTCCGATTGGGTTTGTTTTGAGGAGGATATGGCGCGCGTGGTGTGATGGGTCGTGAGGTGTGGAGAACTCACTTGGAACAGATGTATAATATATGTATTCATGTATATCTCATAAATTGATCAATATATTATAGTTGTTATCGCATATTCGATGATAATATTAGGTAGGTGGTAGTATCCATACGGCGGTTGGGGATCGAATGGACAATTTCGTAACCAACGTTGCGTTCGTTTGCTGATGCCATTTTTGGATGTCACTGGACTGGAGTGGGCTGGGGATTCCCCATGTTTATCTGGATACCAAGGGATTTTATCGGCAGTTAATTGACGCGTGTATAGAGATCTAAGCTTATTTTATATGGATTAATAGTTCATTTTCAAGAATGGTATTCGCGTATTAATCTTCTATTATGCATCTTTTAGAATCTATCTTGGTAGATTAAGTGTAGATTAAGTGTAGATATCTCAGATGTATGTATCACTTCATCTCATATCTCTCCGAACCCACCGGTAATGTTCAACGCCGGGCTACCAAAATGTGTTTTCTGTTCAGATCATGAATGACGAATCTCTCTAGGAAAAAAGTAGCTTTGAGTCCGAGAGTGGGAGTTTGTTCTATCATACTCCGCACACAATTAACAACTAACGATCGATGCTCAAGTTTCATCTAGACCTACGAGTGTTCTGTTGCATTCGTACACCTTGTATCTCAACAAACTCTTGCCTTCCTATTTAATTCATAGTACAATTGTTGGTACTATCAAAAGATATCCACCTACCCAGTATCTCCAATGTACATATAGATCCTAGCCATGCCACGAGGAACAATATCACGACTTTCTCCACGCACCTTCCGGAAGCGCTTGGGTCGACTAGTAAGGGTGGCACGGTGAAGACATCGCATGCTGGGTTGACAAGGATAGATTGAAGGATGGGGAATAATTCGTGGGTGAGTGGAAAGAATGAGGAAGGGAGGCGACATCGGAGTTACTTGATTTAATTGTAGAAGGTTGGAAAAGGTTGGGCACTAGATGGAAAACTCTGACTTGGTAGACGCAATTATTGGTGGAGGAGATGAAATTGAGAGATGATTGACATGACCGACATGAGATTCGATGGTTTTGTGAATACTAATACATGATTGGCATGGGATTGCGTATTTTGCTGGCCTGACATACAGGAAGGGGACGATTGAACGATGTTGACAAGAAAACGTGCGGTTGTAGCTTCGATTATCAATCATGGCGATTGTGATTGTGGGTGATGAAATGGCTTGGTAATTGATCTATAATTGATATCTTAGTTCAATTCCAAGCAAATTCATTCAAGCCGTCCACGGTGTGAACAAATGATATGTTAGAGAAAGTTGCAACCTAGAAGTCTTGTCATCATATATCACGGGATGTCACCGCGATACCGAACCGATGTGATACTTCCCTTTTTCGGAGAATTCTTTACCCTTGAAGCATTAAACAATATGTAGCTTATTATCATTCTCGTCTCCAAATTATTTGATAGATTCAACGTTCATCTGTAGATACCCCTTCATCACTTATCATCTCTGTCTCGCTAGAGGGAGGGAGGTAAAGTTAGTAACCTTTTAAGCCGCCACCGGTGAGCTTAAAATCATATTGTGATCGTTTTGACTTGCAGTCATTCGCCAAGAATACCTAAACACCTGTACAAGTAATCGTTTCAATAATTCTCTTCGATTTTTGACCTGTTAGCTCCTTCAAGAGAAAATAATATATTTCTTTCTTCTTTAAACTTCATAAATACATCCCATCGGCCGAAGCTAAATTACCTTGTTGTCCTGCTGTAAACTACGCTAATTGTGTAGATCGCAATAATCAAGCTTTCTCATCTAGTGCATTGAAACAACAACCGACGAATATTTCCGATTCACATCTGAAATAGGAAGCTCACCAACCATCCATACATACACCGTACACCATTTTCACCGTATAGTGAGTAACGGCAGTCCAATTCCAAGAATTCTGATCATTCTATTTGATCATTCAGTCTTACCGTCCAAGAGATATCACAGTGAAACTAAACAGAGGAAAAGCTTGCGAGCATTATCAAATGATCAATTAAGATCTCATCATCATCGAATAAGACGTTAAGAAAGACATTTTCAAAAGAAGATATCAATCCCATCGTACCCAACCACATCTGATTGAACAATCTACAACATTGTACCCAATATATCTCGGTTTGGTCATAAGGACACAAACATTCCCCCTTCGTCCTTTTTAAAATCTGCTCCACCTTCCAAGTTAGAGGGCCTTCTCGATAGAGCAGAACAGACGAGTTTTCTTTCGTTTGACAGAGAGTCTATCAAATGGAGAACGAAAAATACTTGCATGGTCGGTTGGATCCCGGCATCGAATCGACTCTTCAGTTAGTCGAGGCAGTGGAAAGTCCTGATATGAGCAATTTCTTCTCTTCCCAGGAAGCACCATCCTCTGAATCATCTCAATCCAAAAATGCGGCATTTCCGGGTATGTATCTTTCTTCGTTGCATTGTATTTGCTTGGTGTTCTTGGCTTTCGAGCTGTGTTTTTTCGCTTGATGGAAATGACAAGATCTTTCAGTTAAGCATAAGTCCCAATTACTGTATCCAGTTGAAAGAACCATGGCTGATAGCAATCATTTCTATCCTTAGGTATCGGATCTCCCAATGATACCCAGCTCAAGCTAACCCACCTTCCGGTTGAGATACTTCGCCAAGTTTCTTCCTATCTTTCGCCATGCGATCTGATAAAGTTAGGCAAATCGTGCAAAATATTGTATGAAATCACAGAAACTGATTCACTTTGGCGGCGCCTGGTACAAGAAAATGTGCCCGGTGTCAAGCTTAATTCTCCTTTCCCATGCGAGTCTTTCAAAGAGCTTTACCAATCTCATGATCCTCACTGGTTCCTTACCAAGAACAAACTATGGTTTGGCGACTCTGATTACTACGGGCAGCTCATGATATCTAAATACAACCCTGAGACTGGTTCTATCGGATTATACAGACTTCTAACACAAAGACCTTCACCTCAATTTTGTACATGGAAGGATGATATGTCAGTCGTAATTCATTGCTTTGATCCCAGAACGCAATTAGCTACTTCTCCTCAGCAACTAGACCTCCATTCTTATTCGCACCGATCCCTATCAGATATGGGTCACACCGAACGAAGGCTCAAGGGTGAGCTACCGCTAAAAATGGCGAATCGCGGAAATTCTACTCGGGAATGTCCTTCGAGGTTCTTGCTATCAAAATTGTTAGTAGGTAATCAGCCCAACAGGCCGCAAGCAAATAAATGGCCACCACCAAAGATTCCAGCAAAAGTTCGAGCAGGTCGTCCTACCATTTTCGATAATTCATGTACAGCCACTTGGGGTCGACCCGAGAATCGTTCTCAGATCAATGAAAAATCGTTTCGTATTAGAGGCTGGATGGAAATGAATGGTTTGGTACAAATAGGAGATCAAATCCAAACATATTCGACTCTTGATTTTGAATTGTATACACCGACAGAGGATAAGCCTTATAGAGGTATCTTTGTAAGTTTGCTCTCACTTTATCGCTTCCTCAATTCACTCAGATCTGAGCTTTAATGGAGAAGTTCATCGGAAACTTTGCCTGTTTTACGAGGCCTCTCAATTGCATATCTCTTCTGTACATTCATGACTTTTCCCAGGCTCATGATATATACACGATATGACTTACAACATGTACAATGAACGAGGAAACGATCAGGATTTCCAACAGTCCGGATACCTAGGCAAAGAATATCTCAAAGGTTTCTGATCTTTTTCCACATGTTCGATTCATCTAGAACACTGAATCGAATCAGAACCAAACTCGTTTGAAATAATCAAATCACTCTCAGAGATTCATAACTTCGCAAAACTGAGACGCCACATCAACCTATTATTAGACAAACCGGGTTCAACGGATCATCACCAAATCAGGATCTTAAATTCACCTGCTGATTCAAATCACAATTCTAGGTCGGAGACTACTCAGGTCATGGATGCGAATATCTACTATTAGATCAACGAGATGGACTTCAGAAACAGGACGAACCAAACATGTCGAAATCAAGAGGCGAATCGCACGAAGCGTGGGAAGCAAGAAAAGGGCAAGCGCGAACTCCCACAGGGTCTCTATGCGCTATTAAATTGACTGGAGATCCAAATATACCTCGAGGGGAAATTACATGGGTCGCTGATGATATTAGTGACAAGGGATTAGTTCGTTATGGGGAGAAGGATTGGCCTGGTGCAAGAATTGTGAGGAGTCGCGGTCAAATTGCCAATCAAGGATATAAAAATCGTATTTGTTTCCTTTCTCCAGCAATTGTAGAGGGATTCTTACTGACTGTTGATAGCAAAATATATCGAAACGGAACTGATAATGATTTCCCCAGATGTGTTGGCACAGCACTGGGTACCCTTCGGACATATCTCTTTCTTTCATAGAGTAGATATTGATAGCTATGTAAATCAATAGCTGGGAAATCATAAGGAGAAAGATAATTTGAAGGAAGGATAAGGTTTCTGTTATATCTTGAAGACGATCTAGATGGCTGAATTGAGTTTGGGATGATATCTAGTGGGGACCGCGATGGTCAAACTAAGCGGCACACCAGACTCAAAGAACTACCTAGGACTCTGAGGACTATCTGATAATGAGTTTCAGTTTTGTGATTCGAATTCGATAGTCGGATGGTCCTTCATTGCCAGATGATACGACCGGCATGTTTTTTGATCTGCTATTTATTGCATTTACTGCGTTCATTGCACAGTATGGATGGAGTTTTGAATTATAATACACCGGGAGTTCAAAGGATTGGATCTATTTTAGGATACTATTATCGCTTTGTTTCTTTGTGTATAAATTGATACCTAGCCATTATAATAACAATTCATCATATTATTTACAGAACTTTTCATTGTTCTCAAGTTTTTGATCAGGTAGTAAGAATGATTTGTCTGAAGTTCCTTCATCAACGCACAGACATACACTCACCCGCCAATAATATATAATCCACTCTTAAATAATGTTTACAACAAATCCCATAGGACCCGTGGATTAGTGGTTATATCGCATCCTTTACATTGTAATTCAACTTTAACAACTTTGAATTAATTAATATCGGATTAGGTCCCCGGTTCGACCCCGGGCGGGTTCATCAATTTTATTTGTTGCTGTTTTTTTTTGGGTGAGGGTTCGGGATGGTGGAAGGGGATGGAGGAAATCGATGGATGGGTTCGCTGGCACGTGGGTGGGAAAGAGGAGAGGATTGGGAAGGAGTGGATCGGTGTGGGGTGGAATGATTTTGTTAATAAGTGTATGTATGTGGTGGTTGTGATTGGTGGGCTATTCACACGTGGTGTACGATGAATAATGATTGCTCCACCTAAATATGGGTCACCAATCACCTTGTAGCAGATACCTAGTTATTATGATTTGATGTGTAGAAAGAACTCTGATGTTTATCATTGGATATAGTTATTCATTCACTAGACTTCTGATAGCGAATCAATTATTTGCTTTGTTTTTTCCTTCCTCGAGCCTTCTTCATAAACAGATAGACGAGTAAGAGAGGCTCCTGGTAGAGGATATCATCGAATCACGAAAGGGTGAGATAACATAGGTGTAAGTAATAGTAAGTGTGTGCACAGCGAATTTGCATGGGGTGTTTTAGTGACTGGTCTGGAATTAGGAAAGAGAGGATGGTTTGCATGATGATGTCGAGGGGAGTGGATGTTGGGATTCATTGGCTATGTATGTACGAGCGATCTAGATTCATCTATAGTGATCAGGGGACGAGTGGTGGTCATGCAGGCGGATCATCTGAAGTATGTTTGTTCTATGTTCGAATCGATTTGGGGGGTGCTGAGTAGTATTCTTTCATACTTATTTTGTGAGTACCGATATTGGAGATGGGGAGTGTATACTGGAAGGAAGGAAGCATTACGGATGAGTGTTGCAGAGATTTTGGATGTTTGAGTTTGGTTTAATGTTTGAATTTATTTGAATGTTTGAATTCAGTTAAGTGTCTGAAGTCTGTTGGATATCTGAATTAAATTAAATACCTTAAAGTATCCGACAACCAAAAGCTCCTCGTCGTCGGACTAGGAGTAAAAACCGTATCCTCTACATACCTACCCGTATTTCTTTCCCCCGACCAATCAACTACCTTCCATCCACCTTTAGGCTCTAGATATATCTTGCTCCATTTGGTTTCCTTGATCTTGATGGCTTTCTTTCCCTTTGCCGTCGCTGCTCTTTTACATCTTGCACATTTGTTTAAACTCCATAGTCTTGATTTCCCGGAGGCTTTTGGGCATGGAGATGTGGTTTTGTAGGATTTGTTTCTCAATTGGAGAGAACAGCTATGAGTATATTTGGTTATGTGGGAACAATCATGGTGGGTGTGGGTGATGGTACACATGATTTTGTTTGTGACTATTATGCTAAGTTGTTTTGTGATTGGTGAGTATAATGAGATTCGAAAAAGATAACTTGGGTATGTATATTTGATATGGCGGTGACTGACTTTCGATGGTATTTGTGGTTCCGGTATGTGTTGAGTGAATCACAATGACTTTTGAACAAGAAATGAACAATGTGGTTGTTCGCTACAAAGCTTTTGTACTGGAACATAACAAAGAAAGCAGAGTATGAAAGACAGTTTTGGAACTACAAAGAAGACAAACAACGTTTGATAATGTTCCTAGACATTGGAATCTTGCTCAAAGGCTTAGAAGATTTCTTTGTGTTGTTTCATTGTTAAGAACAATCGCCTTATTTATAGTTTGAACTGGGAACTGGGTGTTATAGAGATCGATTTCGTGAAAGTGTAGGAGTATCTTGTGTTAAATCTTCGTTCTTATCCGAAGCAAATAGATAGGTGAAGGACAGAAACAGAATGGGATCAGAACAACCCTCTCCCATGAAGTATAAATCTGGCTGATTCTATACTTCTAAATTATCATCAAATCATCACTCCATTGATTAACACTCCAAGCCCCTATAACAACAACTCAAAACAACCAAGAAAACACCAGATAAACTTACCAACCACATCATGTGTAACTGGATCTGCACCATTGAGGTTTGCCCCACTTGCAACAGCAAGCAGAAGACTAGCTACGAGGCTTTCCACTGTGAAGCCAATTGCTACCCTGTCCGCCGAAACGCTTTCTTTTGTAAAAACTACAGAAAACTCAACAACGAGATCATAGCTGATTCTCCATGCATCGATTGCGAAGAACCGATCTCTGTCTTCGAAAACTCAGATTCAAGCGAGGATGAGCAGAAGACAGAAATGGACAGCGAGACTGTTGCAGTTGACGACGCTTCAGAGGATGAACGCGACTCAAATGATGGGAACATGTCCGATGTCTCAGAAGTTTCAGCACTCTCAGACGAAGATGATCAAGATCATGAGACAGTCATGGAAGGTTTGATGGCAGGACAAATTCAGTACGACGACGACGACACGTTTGACGCGCGGGAATTCTTTGGCGATCCAGACTTGGACGAAGAGGAATCACCATTCTGGCCCAGAATCGAGATGTTGAGGAGAGGGTTGGATTAGATTGGCTGGACCAATCAGATCGGACCTCCTTGACTGCGAGAGATAGAATTTGTTTTTTCCCTTAATAGATAGATATTGTACCTAGTTAATTTTGAATATTTGAATGTGAGTCCCGAATGTGAGATGAACTAAATACCGAACCCAAAGGTTGGAGAGAAATGAAATTGACCTTGGAGAAATAAGAGATGGGATTGAAGCCGTCTCTGAGAAGAATCAATTCTGACACATGAATGAAGATCTAATGGTTCATCCTTGACGATATATCGTTTGATGGAATGTGAGTGAATTTACACTATGGAAATATATGAGAGCTGCGAGGGGGATATATATGAGAGACTTTGGCGTAGACAACCTCGGCAGTTGCTTCGAGAAATGGACTATACCTAATCTAGCTTAGTAGAAACCTTCATCTCTCTGACCGCGGACTTTCCAAGAAGCACAATTGCAATGAAATGTAAAGAGTTCATGATGGCCCGTGTAGCACATCTCCATTCATCACTTTGTTACCATGCAATGTACGTGGTCTGCCTGATCGAAGGAGCTGGGCGCCAAGCAGAGTTGAAAAGTTGCAATGCTAATAAGGAAATTACTTCTGCAATTCCAGCACAGCAATGTAAGCATTTCTCTTGAACATGTTGTCTCGGCTTTTGAATTCTACGCTGGAAAAGCTGTCAATCAAAGAAGCAACACCTTTGGAATCTCCTAAGGATTTATATCCAACTCTGTCTTTTCCTCCGCCTCATCCGGCGGGGAAAGGAACCCGATCAATATGTGCACGATGTCTGACCCTACTCTCCCATATGATAAAACTATATGGAGATGGAACAAAGCAAGATAAACTTCAGATTATGCACTCTCCATCAATGCAAGTACGCGATTTTCGACCAAAGCACAGAAGTCTGTGGAGACATCCTAAGGATGACCCCGAGGAGGATTCATTAGATGAGAATTGCGTTCTATGTGCAAAGATCAGAATTCTTTTCGATGCAATGCAAGCACATGTATCATTTGAACCTTCCTTGAGAGATGCACCTTATGAGGACTGGAGCTTAACTTGGGCGGGAAGCATTGATATTCCGGATAGATGTCTTAGTGTACTTATTACCACAAAACATAAGGGCGGATTTTCATGGGAATTGGTATGTATCTACAACGAAATTTATTAAAAATTGTGGCTAAATGATGATCTAACTTATGATCAGGTGGCTTTAAGGTCTACCCCGGTGCGGACAATAATGTTGCACATATACCAGCCTCCGAGGAAACGTCCCGTGATTACCCTGTTATTGTACCACTGGATTTTCAGGATCCCACAGGGCAAGATACTAATATCATTCAACCTGAGCCTGCTGCTTTCTGTTCAACACTAAGCGCTGGAACAACGGCCGGGGTAAGGTTATGGATGAATACTTGCGCAAACTCCCACACACAGTGTCGCAGGATATTCAGAAAGGGTGGCGACGATCAATATGAACCGGAAACATATTGGTTTCCAGATCGCCTACTTAAAATTGCTCGAGACGACTCTGAGCCTGGATATTCGGACATAAGTGCGCGTTTGGTAGTCAGATCTGATCCTGCCGACTTTCCTCCAGGATGGAAGGGGTTAGACTACGCTTCTCTCTCTCATTCTTGGGGTCCTGAACCGGATCCTTCTGCTCCTCTTGGTGGTCGTATCGGGGCAGTGCTCACTAAGTCAAATCTTGCCCTTTGGCGAGTTGACGTACCACTCGATGATCTTCCACTCACCTTCAGGCATGCAATAATTGTCTGTGTGACGTTGGGATTTCAGTACATCTGGATTGATAGCTTATGTATTATTCAAGACAGCCTTGAAGATTGGCAGGAGCAGAGCGCTATGATGAGAGATGTGTACAAGTTTGCATGGTTAAATATTGCGGCTCTATCCACCACATCCGACTATGAAGGTTTTATCAATGAATATCGAGATCCACGAGCCGAGTTTGGATTTCGAACTTCTTTTGCATCTATTCTTGGCCATGATCTTGAACAAAAACACGCTGATAATGACGACTGCTTGTTACTTAGTGGCGTAGCAAGGCTTTTGTGGAACTTCTCCTCTGATATACCTGGTAATACTGTGTCGAATGCACCCTTATTTACACGAGCATGGGTATACCAAGAGCGCAGTCTTGCTCGACGGACTCTCGCTTTTGCGAAGAATAGTGTGTATTGGGCTTGTGATGAACATTCCGGTGGAGAACAGCCCGAATGGTCTGGTGTTGAAGGCTCGAGTTTACGAAGAACGTTACACTTTGTGCGGGAAACGGCTGTATTGAACCCGCCTTCTGAAGAGCAACTAATGCGGTTACTAAGAGATTTTGAAAAAACCTGGCAATCCACCGTAGCAGCATACACACGTTGTAAATTGACACAAAGCATTGATAAACTCATTGCCGTTTCATCCATCGCTCAAGAACTGGCGGCAATGATGCCACAGAAATATCTCGCGGGACTATATGATTTCAACGTTGTGCATCAACTGACTTGGGTTAACATAGATGGACGAACCACACCACCAAGAAAGCGAGTTGGAGACCCAGAATACGTAGCTCCAAGTTGGAGTTGGGCCAGTGTTGAAGCACCAGTACATAATTATACCATCACTGCATCCGGCGTCAGTCCAAAATATGAAGAAACCCCTGGTTTTAAACAATTTGCACTAGCCAATGTAATAGGCGCAGACGTGGCACTTGAAACAGAGTACCTCTTTGGTTTTGTGAAAGCGGGATGGATGAGATTACGTGGACGTTTGAATCGTGTAAAGGCAGCTTACAATAGAGCACCGAGTTGGAATGCTTGGGAAAAAAGTGTTCAGCTTATTGACGAAGACACGGGACAAGGTATATGGTATACCGGAGATACTGTAGAGGCATATGAGATTATTAGTTGGAATACGGGAATCAGAAGCTTGGTGTGGATGCCGCTGCTGATAACATTCGATAGCACTGTGTCATGTCAATGCATCTTCCTTGTTGAGGTGGATGCTTCGGATCAAATCGGCGATGATGGAAAATTTGTCAAGCCGGGTGAGAAAGTATATAGAAGGGTTGCAAGTGGAAATTTTGGGAGTGTTACGAGTAGTCATCGACATAATAAATTGATTATGGGATTGGGGAGATATCCGTTTATGCGAGAGAAAGATGGCCAAGGACAGGCGTTAGCAAATGGGTTTAAGAGAAGAGAAGATGGATTCGAGCAGATAGTTATCATTTAAATGGGGACGATCTCTGGTATATATCGAAGAGCTTAAAGTTCTCACATAGTCTTGATTACAATCAAATCAACTATGAAGACTATGAGTTTTTCATCCCGACGCTATACACTTGGTTAATTGAATCGGTGAAGACATAGTATGTATATACTTCACATTGTGTACAAGCTGGTGCTCGCGTTGCTTTAGAACCATTATACCAGAGAAGTGGGTGGGAGATGAAGTGTAGATACAAAAGGGAAAACCCCTTATAACCCTCCACTTCCTCCCTCTCCACCCCTTTTCAAAGCTCGATGATTGTTTCAGTTGATATGATTATTTCACTTGATATGATTATTCTACTTGACATGATTATCCCAATTGATATAGTTATTCTATTTGATATAATTATCCCACTTGATATAGTTATTTTGTTTAACATGATTGTTCTACTTGATATGATTATCCCAATTGATATAGTTATTCTATTTGATATGATTATTCTACTTAATATAATTTTTCTACTTGAAATGATTATCTCAATTGATATGATTATCCCAATTGATATGATTATTTTACTTGATACGATTGTTTTATTTGATATAATTATTTTACTTGATATGATTATCCTAGTTAATATGATTATCCCAGTTAATACGATTGTTCTACTTGATATTATGATTCTAATCAATTGTAATATATAAGTCGGTTACCCTACTTTCGGGCCACCCCTGTTATGGGCCACTTTTCGATCACTTTTCACACCAAAAATGGAATTTCTAACTTTCTTATTTATAAATAGAATACATTGAAAATTTATATATATATAATTCAAATCGTTTTGAATTTATTCTGAAATTTTTAGATTTTTAGGATTTTTCTATATTGAGATCTAGAGCTTTAAAATATCGATTTTTTAATTTGTATAGGAATCACATACAAATTTGAAAATTTTATAAAATCTTTAATAACTTTTTAATAAAAATTCGCTCTAAGTACCTTTACATACAAAATTTGGTGTAAAGGTACCTGTCCGAGTTCCCCATATGTCCGAGTTCCCCATACGTTACGTTATAAAAAGAGAATATAATATTAAAGAATCAGATGTGACGAATATCACGTGACATACGTGATGACTCATCACAACTAAGTTCAAGGCTAGCTTGAACTAGGCGAGTGTTATTATACAAGAGATAAAGAGATCCCTTAAGGATCTCTTTCCTCTTTAGCTTTCTTATTCTAGTTATTTGACCTCTATGATATGCTCTAGTATGTGATCGTGACAAGAAAATGAATTTCAGATTCAAAAACGTTTCGGGTTGAAAAATCCATATGAAGTGTCATACTGAGCAATGCCCAACTTTGCTATCAAAATCGACAAAATTCTACCTTCCATCTCCCATTCTCAAACACTTTGCCCCACCCCCATCATTCCCACCTCAGAGATAGTTTTCCATGGGGTAAACGGTTCTGCCTTGCAGAGAATTTTTTGGAAATGCTCAATCGGAACCATACTTATTATTATCGCTAAAACTAACAAATGTGCGGTAATTGTGGACACGATGGTTGTGAACTGTGTCAGGCTTCCTTATTTTTTGTCCATATGCAACACTTTTCCTATAGGGTGAATGGGGGAGGAGGCGATTAGCAGATTTTTACTGCAGTCTGCTTACTCGTAGGAGTACTTGCTTTCTCACAATGACCTTATGCATATACCGTTCCTGTAGGATAAGTCGGGACAGCAGGCGGTTTGCAAGTCTCCACTACCTAAGGCGTCCTTGTTTTC